CCCCTTAGCACGGGCCACTGGGTGCCTGCCCGGCTGATAAGGGGCTACAGCACGCAGCCACGAGGATGTGCAGATGGGAAGGAGTTCCTGCACCCGGCACATGTAAAGCAAGGGAGAAACCTCCTGCTGTTTATCTGTGCCTTAATTTGCATCTTCTTAAAATGCCTAATTAGTTGCATTCGTTGATATACTGACTCAGGCACTCCTACCTAATCCAGTAAGTAAATCTCGGCCTTGAAAATATTTGTCCTACATCTTCAAATGATGCAATGTTCACCAGAGTCCTTAAGCTTATTTGGGGTTGAACCTGCAGCTGGCCACAGATCTCTCTTCAGTGGTTCTGCTATATGGGCAGCTGGAGGGTTTGGGACTACGCATTCTCGCTTTCCAGCAGGAAAAGCCTGGCACCTGGATGTGAAAAGTGATCGAGCCCATGACCACAAAGTGCTGTCTGTTCTGGCCAGGTTCGCCAAGGAGTACTCTTTCTGTGGACAGCTATGTTTTTGTCCTGAGACATTTTAATGACTCCAGAAGCCCACTTTGTCCACAATATACCTTATTATTTAGTTCCAATGGCTTTTACTGGATTTGAATCACAACAGAGGTGTATAAACTACATTCAGCTCGATCACTTGTTTAATATCAGTTTCTGAAGTGGTTTCTGCACTATTTATGTCCATCAGGTAGCAAGCTTCTGGACCCAAAACCTCTGGGTATTTTAAGGCTTAAATGTGTGCTAACCTGACCATAAGAGTGTCCTAACCAGCAGTTTGTAAATCTGCATCATGCTGAGGATCGTGGCTGTGGTGGGAAGTCCTGGAAAGGGAGAAGTACCGATACCCTCATCCACAGAGAGCTTTATGGATGAGCAATGTTCTCAGATTCCTTCTGCTCTTCATTCGGGACTTGTGTTAACACAGGAGCACCAGGCTGACGTGCCACATCCCGTTGAGGCTGCCATGTAGATAAACAGGCATGATAAAGCTGTGGGTTTCCTGCAAGGGAAATTTCTGTGTTGGAAAGGGGGACAGTAGGAATTTCTTAGGACCTTTCCATCAAAGCCTGCAAAGGATTTGAAATTCACCTAAAAAGGGGTGGAGGAAGGAAAGCATTAAATCCTGATGCCTCTGCTCAGTCTTTAGTCAGGCAAAACTTTCCTTGAGCTCCTGGAGGTTTTTGCCTTAGGGGGGCCCCATGTGCTCTGAGTGTGTCAGGTCCAAGCTTCTTTTTCTGGGAAGAGGCACAACCGTCATGCTAACATGCATGTAGCCCACCACCCGCCATGCTTTACACACTGCAGATGTTGCAGCTCTGCTAGAGCATGAGCTGCCATTTGGTTTGTGGTGAAGAAACATCTGTTTTCAGCCTTGTAGGCTCCTCAGTCAAGCCTGATGCCGGTCGTGGCTGCAGCCATCACACCTGAGCAGAGGGAGCCATCGAAGACCCGTGCTGGCTGCTGCAACGCGGCAGCAGTTAGCTTTACTCCACACAGTGAATATCTGAGGATGGAGCTCCCATGTATCATTGATTCCAAATCCTGATGGTCAAAAAAGTAGAAAGCACTTATAATCAAAGACAAAACTGGTTACATTTGCCTTCCAGTGAACTCGGCGTTACACACAGGATGAACTCCAGCTACCCTGACATCCCCGAGACCCTGTGCAGTCTTCATGTCTACGCTGTGCTCAGCTATTACAGTGGTCTCCAGGGAAGGAGGGCACTTTTTAATGGGCTTTTTTTTTTTTTTTTAGGACAGAAATGCAAAGGAGATGCTTAAAAGCAGCATTAATTATGATTTTTAGAAAAAGGGTAAAGCAGACATCTAGCTCTTCTTGTTGCCACCATGTGCACAGCCACGAGGAAGCCCTCGGTGTCCAACACACACTTGTCCCAGATGTTCCACAGCTGGCTTCCTTTCCCAGTGGCCCCTGCATTTTCTCATCTTATGACCTGGCATCGGGCTGCCCACAAGCACTTGCTTGCATTGGTGTGCTGTGCTGGGAGGTTGCTGAGGGATGTTATGCTGCCAGCAAACCCTGCAAAACTTTTGTTGCCGGCATGACAGCCTGAGGAGATACATGAGGCTGAAAGGAGAGGGAGCACCTTTTATTAGTCGAAGGGTTATAATAGCTGGAAAAAAACCCAGACAGGCTTTCAGGCACAAAAGCCCTTCTGCAGGTCAGAGTATTTGAGGCAGCACCTGGTGTCCGAGGGTTATAGGTGGTGAGGCACGTGGGAAAGGTGCTGCGGTTCTTTACAGCAGCTTAGGAGGTAGGTGTTGTTTAGCTTGCTTCTCTTTTCTTCATGCCATGTGCTCTCCGTCTCAAGCAGCAAATGTCACTCCGTTCCTTCCAGCAGCAGGGATGTTGCTCTGGCTGTACTGCTGTGCCCAAAAGCTTGTCTGCTTCCTTCAAAGCTTGCCTGCAATATCATCCATTGACCTAGTAAACGCTGTTATTTCTGCCTGCACACCTTGCCTCACTTTTAACCTGCAATATTTACATCTTCTTACCCGAGTTCTAGGTAACTGGAGACAATTTCAAAATCCTGCAAAAATGAGAGGAGGTGAATTTGGGAAGTAAAGGGCTGCAACTTTTCTGTAACGGCATTAAAAGTGCCAGAGCCAGGCTGACTGCAGATATCAACACACGTCCCCAACGAAGCCAATGGCAGTGCCATGGCCCCCTCCATGGTGAACTTGGCTCGCACCAAAATTTTACCTCTATAGTTTAAGGCCCCAATCCAAACATGTCTCCTGATTTATTCCTGAAAGAAACAGCAGTAGTGGAAGCTTTCTCCTATGCAAGTGTAAGAGCAGGTTGCTCCTATCTCTTCCCTCAACGTGTCAGAGAAAAACAGACCCTATACCAGCCTGGGACAAAGAGAAGGATGTGAAGGTGAGTAACAGACGTTTATGAAGATGCATGTGAAGGAACAGATGGAAGACATTGCCCTAACTACTTACCTTCAGACTGAAAAAAAAGTTCTTTACCTCCCATATCCAGATGACTTACCATCATATCTCAGACTGTGGCAGGATCTCAGAGAAAGCAGCTGTAAGAAGTAGCATCCCTGAGACAGAGACCTGCCATCCCTGGCAGAGAACACAGGCTTCCCTGCTCAGCCTCCCCGTGAAGTCTTCCAGGACCCAGAGAGTTAAACTTTCTCCCCAAAATGTATCGGGTCCTTTCTTTAGCTAGGAGCTAGTCTGGCTACTCATCTTATCTGGAAGAGTGTAGTTTCACTTCCCCAAGGTGTAAATATTCCTGTGCCAGAAAACAGTCAACTCTTGTTGGCGGGCGACTCCTTGCCTGTCAGAGGGATGAAACTCTCCTCCCTCGGTGATTCACTGTGCCACTTCCAGCAGAAGGGAGAGCGCATCCCGGCACTATAATCTGCATCCGTCTGGATGTGAACAGACACCTCCGTGCAATGGAAGTTCAGAGCTTATTACGGGGCACTTGGCTGATACTAGAGATAATGGTAATTAACCACTCTGGGAATGACAGTGGTTTATTGCTGGCTGATCTCCCGATGCTTTTCTTAAGCATTTTGTCAAAAAATGGGCCTCACGGAGGATGGAGAGGGCAGGAGGAGACAGAAGGCAGTTGTGTGAGTCTCCAGCTCAGCACACAAGGCTTGAGGAGCACGCCTAGGTTTTGGCATGAGCTGGAGACAGGACCTGTGCATTTACCCCTTTTCAGACCTTTTTTGGGAGTCACAGGATTTCTGTGTGTGGGTATGGAAAGGCCGCTGCTCCCCACTGGCACAGGTTTGCAGCCATCACATTTCTGCACTTGCTAGAGGTACAAAAAGATTGGGGTTTTGATTGTGTCAGGAGGTACTGAAATTGCTGTCTCGTTTTACTGGGTAATGCTATAACCAAGTCTGCCAAACCGAATTTTACAGGAATCTCTTGTATTAAAGGAGGCTGAGCAATCACACCCTCGTCACCTTCCCGTGCAGACACATTTGCCAGTCGCTTATGTGCAAGGGTGAGGACCAGCCTATTTATTCAGTCCTCAGTCTGAAACGCTTCTGTCTCTCCATGAGATGATCCACACGCGGGAGCACGTCTTGTCGCTCTCGACAGAAAGGAGCAGGAACCTCTCCTCAAAGCCCCCAGCTTCCATACACATGGGAGTTGCTTCCCAGCGTGGATTGCCACCAAGGCACACCTGCTGTCGAAACGAGGCAAGCAACTCGGAGGGAAGTAAAATGGCTTAGCAGATACCGGCAATCAGCCTTTAACCTGATTCCATGCTGAATTTTTTAGTGAAAAAGGGGCATTTGTAGTCTATAAGCATAGCACTGAACCATATTAAATACGCCTCCATTTATCTTCAGTAAGACTAATAAGGTTCCTTATTATTGGAACAATGGTATATTTTTGTCACCCCTAATTATTAACTTATCTGGCTGCGATTGCTTCGCTTATGAAAAGGATATGCTAGGTAACTATAATAGCTATGCAGTTCTTATATAAAGCAACATTTCAAACCGGGTTTTTTCAGCCGTTCTTTTCTTTTTTTGCTTTGCTTACAGCTTTTCTATTTTTCTTTGGCATAGGTAAGTAAACCCAAAGGGCTAGATCCTACAGTTACACTGATGTTTTTGGAGCATGGCCTGGAGTTTTATCAGTTTACATCATCTGGGAGTGGGCCCATGAAATTTTTAAAACGTTGAAATAAATGAAAGCAGACAGGTGACGGAGCGACAGCACCAGACGGAGAGAATGGCAGTGCCAAGGCAGTCAAAGTCCTAGCTTTATTTGGAGGAAAAGGGCCCGCAAGTACATCTGGTACCGGGAGGCTAAACACACACGCAGGCTTGCTGCGGGCTGAAAACAGGAGAAAAATGTGACTTGTACAGAAAAATAACTTCCAGTGTTTTCCTCCGGTGACATTGGCGAGCCTTCACCGACATGTTAGCCCTGAGTGCTTTTTTGCATGTTCCCACAGCATTTGCCACTCCAGGCAAGAGGAGGCCAGAGGCAAGTGATGGCAGAAGGTATCCTGGAGACATTCATCACCAGCCGTGGTCACAACTGCCTTCACGGCAACGTTCACCGTGGGCATCGTGGAGGCCACTGGCACGTGTGTCCATTAGCCGGAGATAGATATATGTAATATGAGGCTGAAATAACACCTTTCGTGCACAGGGTGGGCCTTTCAGTGACTGCAGCTCCTTCCTGATGCCCAGCACAGTCAGTGTCTCCAGGATCTCACTGATGGAAGGAGACAGGGGACCACCACCACCACTTCTCCAACTGCTGCCCCTCCTCACTCCCAGACAGCCTCATGCCCAGAGGGGCCACTGAAGCCAACTGATGGTTGCCCATGAGCTCACCCTCCTGCACTGCTCACCCACGAGGAGTGTGGCCTCCCTTGGTTTGTAGGTACAGTGCTGGAGCCCCAAGTCCTTCAGCAACCAGCTCATCATGCCAACTAGATCGCCACAGCCATTTCATTTTTGCTGCTGAGGACACTGGCCCCAGCAACAAAGATGGGAGGGCTGAATTCCTTTCCCAGCCTAACTCTCTGTTTTGACAAGTGATTCTTTTTATAAATCCCAGACAGCGCCGTTGTAAAGCTGGATTTAACACATGTCAGAGAGAATACACGAAAGCTCTCGCACATTCTGCAGCGCAGGTTTTTTTCAGCAGCTCTGCAAACATGCTGACCGGCATCTGACCTTGCCTCCTGACGCAGCACACGGCCACCAAAGGATGGGCCCTTTTCTTGCCATCGTTAATGTTCCAGATTTCACCTCGCACCTTACATCTGCTTCCTCCCAAGACGACAACTGGGGTTCCACCAGCCATCTACAATAACTCATTGCTGGAGGAGTGGGGCCACACAACACAGCCAGTATGCGAGCATGTAGGGTAGAGCCCAGGCGTCCTCGGTTCCTTGTCCTGCCTTGCAGCACCAGAGTTATTCCTTCTCTTGGTGAAGCCCTTCCCAGTGTGAACAGGGTGAGTGCAGCCTTGAGAGGACAAGGGCAAGGAAGAAAGAGCAAAGTCACCCCAGGGACTAGGTGCGCTGAGCGGGCTGGGTGACAGCCACCTGGAGACCCTCCCCCATCACAGATGTTAAACAAGTCCCTCCACATTAGATTAGGTCCACCCACACCTAAAATAGCCTAATCATCCCAAAGATCTTGTCTAGGTGTTTCACTTTCCCTGAGAGCTACCTGGCAGTTTCTAATATAATCCCATTGTCCCTTTTTGATCAATTTTCCAACAGCCACCGCAGCTACAGTTGTACTAAACCCACTGCCCTCCTCCTCCTCAAGTCGTCATGCATCCCTACTCCATCACATGAAATACTTGTGACACCTGGGAAGCAGGTCCTGGATAATGGATATTCTACTGATAAAGACCTTTCAAAAAACACCACCTGGGAGCCAGGCAATCAAGCAACATGAGATAATCCACGTTCTTCCCAAACACCCTCTAAAGAGGAGGTTTTCTAAGGTAGAGCGTGCAGGTTTGATGAATCAAACATCAGCAGAAATGTCTCTGTAGTCTTCTGAAATCTCCTGGGCCTCGCAAAGGTGCATCCATGTGGAGAAAGGTCACATGGAGCCACTCCGGTTCCTGAGTCCCTGCTCCTCAGACAGGTAAGACCGTCACACCAGCTATTTGCCTTTTAGATTTCCACTATCAAAAGGGTCTAGCTGTGTTTGGCCACACTTCCCCATTTTCCTTGGAAAGGTATCTCAGTCCCAGCACGTTGCTGTCAGGCATTAGGTGGGGTACATGCTTCTCCTGCCCGGCACAGCCCTGCTCCCCCTGAGAAAGGCACGGAGCACTCCCCAAACCAGGCTGGCTTTAAATCTTGCTGTGCCACAAAGCAACTTTTTTCTTTCGGAGGTAATACGTAAGTGTGGGTCATCCCTCTGGAATATTCTGACAGTTGTTCTGATATCATCGGTCTGCAAAACAGCTGGTAGTATTCCCCTGCATTATTTCCCTTAAAGCCCTCAGGCTGAAAGTTGCCATTTTTCTTCAATTACTGGATGTCTGAACACTCTCAAGATTCGCCCAGCCCATATCCAGACCTGTCAGCCTGCCACCGTCACACAAAAAGCCCCACTCCCGCCTGCGTCCCCCAAGAGGCTTTTCCTTCCAGGCGACCAATATACTTTGGTTTTCCTCAGTAGAGGGAGCTTCTCACACAGCAGTTTGAGCACCACGTCCCTCCAGCCCTCTGAAACCACCTCCTGTTTCTGACAGAGCCAGCTCTCTGCCAACGTACGTGCAGGAAAGCTGAAGGCGGGTGATTAGGGAAATGTTCTCCTAACCCCGAGTAACCATGGGCTGGTTTGTTTATTGAATTAAGAAGATTTGTGGCCTTCCCAAAATTCTTTAGTCATTTTCGGAACTATTACTATTAAAATGCTCATCCTTCTGACATGCTGGTGCCACTCAGCCGCCACCCTGTGGCAGTCAGTACCAGGGCGAGGAGAGCCTGTGTGGAAGAAAGGGCTTTCTAATGCTTTTCAGTGCTTTTCTGTGCTTCCACTGAAGGCTGCCTGGTACTTTTCTTACAGAGCCTGAAGTTTCCAGCCTACTCTTGTCTGCAGCTCAAATGCTCTGTACGTTATTATCACGTCCCGTTTAGCCGACCCCCTAGATGAACAGCTGCATCTTTTCATTCCTTCTTCACCCCAAAGCCTTTGCACAGTTAGTACTAAATCCTGATTTAGCAATGAACGGAGCCCTGCAGAGTATCGGCAGGGCGATCTGTGAGGAGCTCTCGCCAAGGAGATGGGTGGCTCCGGCACGGTCAGCAAGAGGCCCCCGCTCTGCTCCCTGCACCCCACTTACACGAGCATGTGTGGGGTGAACGCCGCCAGAGAGCTGATCCAGGCAGAAAAAAAATTGATCTAAAAAACCAGCCCGATTCTTCAGTCAGAGCAGCTCCCCAGCCTGTTAGTTACTGAGTGACAGCAGAAGCATTTGTACCGCACAGCATGCCCAGAACAGCATGAGTGGGCGGATGGGATGGCAGGAGCGGGAGGGAGGAGGAGAAGGGAAGAGGACTGCTTTTTTAAGAAGCACTAACAGCTTAAACACGCTTAAAATGATAATTTAATTGAAGAGACCGGGGATTTTAGTCTTACAAAGACACCGCGGGAATCTTAGCTTTTCAAACCAGATTTGCAGATGATGTTTTCCTAAGCCTACACAGATTGTTGGATGATGTTTTGCTCACACCTGAAGTAACTAAAATTGAAAAACGTCAGCATTTAAAACATCCCTCTCCCCTTCCCTCATCCCATTCTGGTTCCTGTATTTTCTATGCTTGGCATCACTAGGTATACAGGCAATTTCACCGTAATCTTAACAGTGATTCACTCCTCTGTTTTAAAGCACAGTTTCACATCGCAACCTTTGAGCTCACCTACTCCCTTCTTACGAAAACAAGAGTGGAACATGGAAAACATTATGAACACTTTTAATGGGTCTTCATAAAAACAATTTCAAAACAGTATTTTACACTGAAGGTACAAATATCCCCTTACAGAATAAATGATGCTGTTATCCAATAAGCCCAGCACTTGATCACACTCAGGTCAAGAATAATTATTTAGCTCATTCAGAGAGGTTAAATAACCTCCCTTAGGGCACGGGAAACTTCTTTTCCATGCATAATTCCAGTCAGCAGACAAGTTGGTAAACAAAAGGAGATAACATCAACTCGGATGGAAGAAGGAAAAGGGCTAGTGAGCAGACCAGGCACAAGCACAACAAATATAATCTGGCAGTGAATAAATTTAGGCCAGAAATCAGGAGGCCATTTTCAAACATGAAAGCAGGGAAGTTTCAGACCAGTCTTTCAATAAAAGCAGTGGGGCAAAAAATGAACTGGAGTTCAAAGCAAAGCCTGCAAGTTGTCTGAAGGAGACTACAAGGTGTGTCTGCCTGCTGTAGCTGAGCTCTGAACCTTGATGCAGCGGTCCCTCCTGGTATGGTGCTCCCAAGTATCTCCTGTGCCAGCTAGACGCAAAGGTGACAAAGAGGTACGATTTGACATGTTTGTCCTCATGAAACACCTTGACACCGTTTCTCTCTGAAGCCAGCAGTGCTGCGGCAGGGTCTTTCTGTGCCACTGCAGGGTCCCTGACGCCACCGCACTGCATCATCTCCCGGGGCGGTCACTGCCCACGGGGCACCTCTGCCACTGTCCTCTCAAACAGCATGCCTCTCAAGGGACATCATAGATTTTATCTTAAAAAAATGCCTTGCCTTCCTCACAGACTTTGTATACCTTCCATCCCCCTTCCATCCCAGTGGGAGGAGAGGAATCTTCTGGCAGGGTTTTAGAGAGCAAGCCAAGTTTTGGAGGGGGGTATCTCCTTCTTCCTTCTAGAAAGTGGGCTGCACGGCACTTCTGAGTTCCTGTGGGAGTCACCTTCACTACCAGGTTCACTGAAACCGAGAACAAGGTCTCGAGCGTGCCCAGGAGAGGCGTCAGGAGGTGCTTTGCTCTTTCTCCCCAACCCAAAGGCACCAGGGCAAGCCCCTTGCCTGAGGGACACTGGCCACCACAGCACCTCCACTACAGAGCTGCTAAGGGCCTGTGCCCGGCCCCATACCCCCCGGCAGCCCTGACTGGGGGGGATCCCCCCGGCCCCAGGCCCTGTCCCGTGCCCCGCACTTCCCCTCAGCCCCTGCCTCAGGCCCTGTCCCCTGCCTC